GGTGCAAGTTGATCAAGAGAAGATAGCAGCAGTTCAAGCGTGGCCCATACCTACTAATGTTCGTGAGGTACGGGGATTTTTGGGCTTAACAGGATATTATCGCCGTTTCGTACGGCATTATGGGTTGATTGTACGCCCCCTTACAGCCTTGACCAAGAAAGATGGGTTTTTGTGGAATGATGAGACAATGACAGCTTTTACTAAACTGAAGCAGTTGCTTATTTCAGCCCCTGTTCTCCGCCTGCCAGATTTCTCATTGCCTTTCATCGTGGAATGTGATGCCTCATCAGAGGGAGTTGGGGCCATCTTAATTCAAGAAGACCACCCCATCGCCTATTTTAGCAAAGGGTTTTCACCATCTAATCGCCTCAAATCGGCATATGATCATGAACTATTGGCTTTGGTCTTAGCTGTGCAAAAATGGAATCATTATCTTATGGGACAACACTTCTTCGTGCGAACTGATCATTACACCTTGAAGTTCTTATTGGAGCAGCGGGTTACTACTCATGACCAACAGCGTTTACTGATGAAGCTGATGCCTTATGATTTTTCAATTACGCACAAATCGGGAAGAGAAAACAAGGGGGCCGATGCACTCTCTCGCAGACCCCAACAAGTAAATTTCCTCACATTTGCAATCCCTTATTGTTTGGATATTGCAGCGGTACATGAAGGTTTAAGAGCTGATCCCTACACCCATAGAATTATCCAGGGGTTGTCTACCGATGCGTCTTCCTTTCCAGGTTTCAAAATGGTACGTCAAACTTTATTTTATAAGGGACGCATTGTAATTCCAAATGTACCGGGCCTTCGGGACAAACGCTTGCATGAAGCCCATGGTACCCCGATGGCAGGCCATGGAGGGTTTCTAAAGACACTCAAACGCATATCATTGTACTACTATTCGCCCAAGCTGAAACAAGATGTTTGCATCCATGTGCAGAACTGCCTTACATGTCAACAACAGAAGTATGACACTTTATCACCAGCAGGGTTACTTCAACCACTTCCTATACCGCAGCAAATCTGGGAAGACATCTATATGGATTTCATTACAGGGCTACCCACATCTAACAAGTTTGATACCATTTTTGTGGTGGTCGACCGATTAAGCAAATACGCTCACTTTTTGCCTCTCACTCACCCATTTACAGCCAAAGGAGTTGCTGCCGTGTTTTGCAAGAAAATTGTTCGCCTTCATGGTTATCCACGATCTATTATCTCTGATAGGGATGTGATATTTCTGAGTCACTTCTGGCAGGAGCTCTTTCGCCTCAGTCAGACCACTTTGAAGCTGAGTACTAGTTACCACCCCCAAACGGATGGACAAACTGAAGTCCTCAATCGATGCTATCTCCGAATGGAAGCAACGAAACGAGTGCTCGTCGGAGTGTTTACCTCAAGCAAAGACAGTACCCGGCTCATGAGGATGTTATGACCCAAAGTGTGACCCATCAACACCACTCCTTTCTCGGCAGTTTATGGTCGTGACCCTCCTCCCTTCCATCCTTACATCGCTGGGGAAACTAAGAATGCTGAGTTAGAAGATCAGCTAATAACCAGGGACGATATGCTGAAAATCTTAAAACAGAATCTGCAAAAAGCTCAAGATCGAATGAAATCTCAAGCTGATACAAAACGCAGAGAACTCTCTTTTGAAGTCGGGGATGTGGTGTTTCTAAAGATACAACCCTATAGGCAAAAAAGCTTGGCTAAATGGCGATATGATAAGCTTTCTCCCCGGTTCTTTGGGCCTTACAAAGTTACACGCAAGGTGGGGCCTGTTGCTTATGAGTTGGAATTGCCTCCAGATGCTCGCGTTCATCCGGTGTTTCATGTATCAATGCTGAAACCAGCTAGGGGGCAAGTTCCGACTTCACCTATTGCTCCCCTCCCCATCACAAAGGACTGGGAATTTGACGTGCAGCCTAAAGAAGTTCTCTCTCATCGCTGGGTATGGGAAGCAGGTCAGCATGTGCTGGAGTTACTCATCTTTTGGTGTCAACGTCCAGTGGAGGAAGCTACCTGGGAGTGTTATGATCTGTTGCGAGCTCAATTCCCTTCCTTTCGACTTGAGGACAAGTCGTTTTACCGGGCGGGTAGTAGTGATAAGCCTCCAATCAGATTGGTATATTCAAGAAGGAAAAAGAAGATGGCAAAAGGTGGGCCGGCAGAAATGGAGCAGCTCAAAATGTTAATGGGCATTTCAAACAACCCACTAAGTGGCTGAGTGGGTGGGTTACGTGGCAGTTACCAACTCCCCTGGGAGTGGGATTTATTACTTAGAGTCATGTTATTTTCTTATGGGATTATTTTTCATATTTTCCTTTGAGAATCTAGAGACTATCCCTTCTCGAATTGGGACTTGATGTACACTTTTTCATTCTAAATTCAATCAATTTGGCTCAAGCTTTATCACATAGCTTCTGCTACGGGACAATTGTTGCAAACATGTCTCACATAGCTCTGATACCATGTTAAATTTCTGCTGGACCGAGAACAACGGGTAGAGTGTTGGGTAATATTAGCCACTTGCATATAAAGTCGGGATCCACTATTTTAACCCAAAAGCTTAAGCTGATAGGTAGAGCTTCACCCTTCTATATATGCTGACGGTATTCTTCTTTATTTTCCGATGTGGGAACTCTAATAGGTCGAAGGAACAAGAATCTAGTTTCTCTAGGTGGGCCTGAGAGTTGTTGACAACTTGACTTCGATACATTTTATGAACATAATAATTACTCTTCTGATCCGAAATTATTTTCTCACTTTCCATTTTATGTTGTCCTGAAATTATTTCTCATTTCCTTAAATGAAAAAAAAATTATATGTTCATTGACATTCTTGCCCTTACTCATTTTTACCCAAAAAATTGTTTACGACCCACCAACTCTCTACATTTCCTCGTGTTCATTGCTTCTCCTGAGTACTCCTATCTTCTCCCTTGCACTCCAAACTTTAGATCTGCTCTCACTCATCTTCTTCACCATAGATCTTCTTTCTACACCCTTACCACCATCTCCTCTCCCCTGGAAGCAAGCCAAACCCTAGATTTACTCATCAAAGCCCTAGATTTCATCTCCTCAGTTGCAACCCTAGATTTACTCATCAAAGCCCTAGATTTCATCTCCTCAGTTGCAATGCTTAGGTAGTTCAAAGTTACCCTGAAATCTGCAACCGAGAAATTCTTGACGGCTACAGCTTGCAGCATCCTCTCTCTCCAGTCTTCACTTGTTCTCTCTCGCCTTCTATGTCGTCTGACGTCCCAATGGCCCCGTGCCAGGCAACGTCATTCCCTCCGGCATAAGAGTGCTGCACAGAGAAGGAAAGGAATGAAGACGGCATTTCCTGCAGAGAGTTACTGGCTTTAGATCCTTTTTTTCACATAAAAGGGTATTTTGGGATGGCCAATGACATTTATAAGTTGTTTTTAAAATGAAGCTGGGTCAATTTGGGAAAAACATTATAGGACGGAGGGAGTATATAAAAATATCACAAGGAGCAATGGAATATATACAAAGAGTGGAGTTATCTAAGAAGAAAGAGAATAACCCATGATTGGAAGGGTATTTTGGGAAAGTTAATGACATTCTTAAGTTGTATTTAAAATGAAAGTGGGTTAACCTGGGAAGAACATTATAGGATAGAGGGAGTATATATTAATTTCAAAAGGAGGAATGTATTTACAGTTTGTGGGGTGATCTAAAAGGAAAGAGAATAACCTGTGGCTCCGCAATCAGATCCCTTATACTATATACCTTCATCTTATATACTCTCTTTGTCCTTGCGACTTATATGGTTCTTATTATTTATTTCTTCTGTGGATATATCATAACCACATAGTTAGTATGGGACCTTTTTGCGGGGCAAATGGAAAACTAATTCTAAGGAGTCTATCATGAAGCAATAAGATCATATATTTATTATTATACATTTGTACACAGGTTAGTTAGTGAGTGTATACATGTTCAGATACTTTACTTTTCTCTTATAAATTAGCATTGGGTTGGCCTTATCACACAATGGCCACAGTATGCCCATTATTTTATTAAAACAAAATCTAAACAAGGATAATATAAGTGTGAGTACTATATTCTGTATGTTTACTTGGACTTTACTCTCTTCATTATAAAAATGTAGTGACTTTACTTTTAACACGTTCTTTGAAGATTCAAGGAGATCAACTCTTGCATTATGTTGCCATTTGAATTTTGTTCCTATATTATATATCGAACAATCAATACAGCTATAGAAGTACCAACCTTATAGTCTCACCATGTGATTATCTCCTCCATAATTCAAGTTGTCATCAACTTGGAGGATGTGAGTGGAATTGTATGATCAGGATTACTTTATCCTGACATTACAGTGTCACAGGTAAACTGAAAAATTGTTTTATCATGAGGTTTGAGATAGTGTTACGTTAATCGTATAAAAAATGCAAATATAAGGTCTTGCTAAGTTTGTTAATCCAACCTTATCGCCCAAATTAAGCTAGGCCTTAAAGTAATGAAGATTATTCTCGTTCACTACGGTCCCACTCCTTTGGATCTTGCCTCTTAACATGGATTTGTTATGCTTGATCTCGGAATGCTAAGGAACAGTGTCTGATTCACGCATAACACTGGAATAAAAGGTGGCGTATCCCACCACCAAGAGCAGCTCATTGGCCCCACACCGAGCAGGGATGCAAATCAGGGAGATCAAGGACAGGCTTTGAAACCCGAGACTTATATCTATACTCTATATAGCAGCTTTACCTTATTTTTTTACACAGGCCATTCTCGACTACTTGAGCCATGCCTCAAAAGTGTCACAAATTACCATTCCTTTGACCACAAGTGAGACTTGTGTAAGATGACACACCATTTTTTGAAATATGGAACTACAACTTGCGTTTCTTTGCTTTGCTTTCATTGTCGTTACTTGGTAGGGGCATAGGGCTTTTTGTACTCGTCTTTAGTACTGTAAGTAGCTGGAATTCTTTTATTTTCCAGGAGCTAGTGCTAAGGGATAATCAGCTGAAGAAACTTCCAGATGTTAGCATATTTAAGAAACTTCTGGTATTTGATGTTTCATACAATGGGATCCCATCACTCAGTGGATTGTCCAAGGTCTCCAGTACATTGAAAGAACTTTATGTCTCTAATAATGAAGTTACAAAGATGGAAGAGATTGAACACTTTCAAGAGCTGAATATTCTTGAGCTTGGATCAAACAGATTACGGGTTTGTTTCACAGCTCCTGTTATAATCTTAAAAAGAATCATGACAATGATCATAAACTATTTATTCAATATGATTGACCACCCTTGTGCCCCTGTTTCAGCCCTTCTTTGAAGGCTAACATTCCCTTCATGGAGATGTGTAATAGTGTATGCATTCTGTATCGTATGGAGTGTTTTTCTGGAATGAAGACAACACTTAAGCACTCTTTTCGTTAGGTTATGGAGAATTTGCAAAATCTGATAAATCTACAAGAACTATGGCTTGGCCGCAACCGTATTCGAGCTATCAATCTATGTGGCTTGAAATGCATTAAAAAGATTAGCATCCAGAGTAACCGTTTGACGTCAATGATTGGATTGGAGGTATTATCCAAGAGTAATTTATTATATGAAGAATAGTCTTCTCATTATTCTAATGCATGTTCTTGAATTGTTTCCTGGTTATGCAGGACTGTGTTGCTCTTGAAGAGTTATATCTGAGCCATAATGGTTTTGAAAAAATGGAAGGCTTATCAACCCTGGTAAACCTTCGGGTCTTGGATGTATCAGCAAACAAACTTACTGCAATTACTGGCATTGAAAACCTAACGAGGTATGATGACTTTTTGACTGCCCAATGGTACAAATAGATGTACACATTCTTTAAGTATAGATCGTTTCATCTTAATTATGTATTTTCCTTCACTTCAGCTTAGAAGATCTCTGGCTGAATGACAACAATGTATCATCTCTTGAAGGCATAACCGATGCAGTTAGTGGTTCACGAAAAAAGCTGACTACTCTTTATCTTGAGCGCAATCCATGTGTATGTATATATACATTGCATAACGTCTATTTCTACTCTTCCCAGTTTTAAACTGCATTATTGTTCTGAACCAGTAAAGTGTTAGAATTCGACCAACGGAGGGATTAACACCAATGCTAGACATGGTAGTCAAACTCGAGAGTCGACTCCTAGAATCTTGTGATTCTACGATATAGAAATGGATCTGCGATTCAGATCGTAAGAAGAATCACAATTTCAGAGAGATAGTTAGACGTCATTCAGGATGGTTGAGTCAGTAGGATCGGCTCGTGGGACTCAGAAGATTGACTGCAAAAAAACCAGCCAGAAATCCAAAAAGTCACGACTCTTCCGTTTTTCAAACTGCAACTCTACCTTCTATTCCTACTTTAACCTGCAAAAATCATCCACTTGTCAGCATCTACAAATTTTCAAAAATACTTTCTTTTTCTAAACCTCCCTATAGGGCGTCTGCAACGTGAAAAAAATTCTCTAGAATGTCTCTAATTCTTTCTTTTGTAAATTCAGGTACACGTATATCTTCTTCTCTCCTATTATCTTCTATTTATCTAAGTTCTTCCATTTTTCTTAATACTCTAGACTTCCACTTGACATCTTTCTTCAGTTTACAAAGTTTGTGTCTTTGTGAATAATCTTATATGTTTTCGAGTCATAGTATTTGTTTTATTAACTTATGATTCATGAATGATAAAAATATCATCAAAGTTAAATGGCATTGTAAGTGGTATTACCATAGTTTGTAAGGCGACAAGGCGAGGCGCCAATGTACCTTCACATCGCCTAGGCGACTAGGCGACATACATACATACCTACATATAATATACACACACACACACACACACACATACATATATAGGTCTTGTACATTTTAAGGAAGCTTGATCGAGACAGAGAAGGCCGAGAGAGAGAAGATAATGGGCTGCACTAAAAAATGGGTTTTTTTAGTAAGGCGAGGAATGGCGACGCCTAGTCGAGCGCCTGATCGCCTTAAGGTTTTCTAGGCGAGCAGACAAGGCATCCCAGTGACAGCGCCTTATCGCCTAGGCGACGCCTTACACACTATGGGTATTACTGATATATATATGTGTGTGTGTGTGTGTGTGTTTATATATACGTGTGTGTGTGTGTGTATAGACACACACACACTTGGTGAGGTTCTTTTGACAACTTTTGTTGTCAAAATATGTGTGCAAGACACAGTCTGTTTGTGACATCATCTCTTTTTGGAACGACTTAACCATCCTGTTCTGCATGTTTCCTCACATATATCTTGCTTTTCATGAAATAGAAACCAGAACGACTTCGCCATGCAAGCCCTGAAATTTGATCTTATATTGTTCCTCTAGTTCTTCATGGAAGCTTCCATCTTCAAATGGGCCTCACAAAGTATGGCTCATGCATTGCATCCTCATTGGCCAGTTATTTTTTTTGGTTCTCACGACATTGCCCCACCATTGTGCCGCACTGCCGCTATTTGCTTCACAAGAGAACTCAACCACCAAAGGGCTTAGTGTTATTCAATTTTTGAAGTTGCATGTCATGCTCTTGTCGTTTCAAGATTTTCTTGGTTTCTCTTTGTGTATGTTTCTCCTCAACACAATGCTTTGCAGGAGGGTGGATGTAGCCACTATGACGATAAAGGGAGAGTTTGTTTTGTTGGTTTGCACACATTTGTTGTCGATAAGGGTCTGTGTACAGAGAATGGGGTACTGGAATGAGGGAGGTTCAGAAAGTAGTAGGGGTATAGTGAAGATAATTTGGATTGAAGGTGTAAAAATGGAAATCAATGTATTGGTGCTTAACAGAAAGAATGAATAAGAAGAAGATTTCAGTTGATGGTCTCCGACTCTCTGAAAATTTTCTATTGGTTCATGTAACAACCCCGTAGTTTTGGGATTAAGGCTTGGCATGGTTGTTGTTGTTGTTGCTATTGATGACATTGTGTCCATTTATGAAACGAAGCATAGTTTGTCTCTCATCTCTGACATGAAAAGAGGAAAAACAGTCCATCTCACGATAAAAATCTCACTCCAAAAACCTTGTCTATGGTACCTTGGCATATTGACTATAAAGTGACCCAAAAGATTCGTGGCATATGGATATTTGAGGTGTACATGGGTGGGAGAGTCTAAATGGAAGTAGGAAAGGTAGAATAACAGAATAGTACCCAATGAGATCAGTGAACGTCTAAATTAGGTTAAATATGCCATTGGCTTAAAATGGACCAATACCTTATATTGTTAAAATGCACGAATTGTCAAAGTATGGATGCCTGTCGCCATGGAATGACTTTATGAACAAACTCATTCCTTAGATGGCTGCTTACAAAAAACTGAATGCTTCTGATACATACCCAATAATGATTGTTTCTGAGAAAATTTGTATCCATATAAGCTGAAGTCCTCTGATTCCTCTCAGATGGGCCAAGGAACAACACGCTTATTGCCATTGTTACTGTTGACCTATAATATGCTCTTTTTGTAAAGATAGCTGGAATGCCCTTTTCTGCATGTTTCTTCCCCGGGTTACCTTGTCTTTTTTTTTCTGTACCCAATATTTTGGATTCGATATTGAACAACTGTCCACAGTCCAAGGAACACAAACATGCAGACTTGAACTCTTGTTAGTCCATGTGAATTATGATTTCTGAGACATCTTTGTGTGAGAGTTATTTATTTATTTTTTGCTATGTGATCACACATTGTTTTAAGTTTTAAAGTTGTGTCCTTCAGTTTCCATGCAACAAGAACTTTGCACCGGAAATATTTTAGCTTGTAAGAAGTAATATAAATACCAAATTTTGGCGTATTTAGAACAGCAAGATCATGTGAATCACTGGGATATCTCATTGCTTGAATGTTCTGAAGTCCTGCATCATTATATGGCCAATTTGCAGCACAATTCATCTCTTTATTTTTTGTCCTCTTTAGTGGTGTGCACCGCTTGATAGTATCCTTGAATATATCATTTTGCAGGCAAATTCTCCAGACTACATCACTACTTTGAGACAAGTTTTCCCCAACATTCAACAGATAGACTCGGAACTATTTGCATAAGCCAAATGAAACAATGTCAATTCTAATCTAACAGCAGATGAAACGGTGAGACCCCTTAACTGATGTGTGATTCCCGGCATCATCGCTTTCAAACTTGCTGCTCGACAGGATTTTTTTATTTCGAGTTATGGAGTCATACTCTTGCACACTTTTGATTTTTTTAAGCTACACTTACGAAAGTTATTTATGGTTTAAAATGTTCAAGTTATCTTGTATTCTTTCAATAGTCTATGAGAATTAATATAATCTCAGGTGTATGCTTGATCTAGTATCTCCTAGGGATTAAATGATTAATCACAAGGAAAAAGTGATGTCTGGCTAATGTACAATTTCTAACAAATTAGGTCAACATTTCATTCGACTGTCTGCACTTTTGTTCCAAACTTCTACCAGCTATTGTAGTGTAGAAGTAACTGGTTAAAAGGATGACATCATATTCCTTTTGGCTTTCCTCATAGTCAATTGTTACTCGCCATTTTTTCTTTTCTTTCAAAATGTTTTAGGATTTAGTAGTGAAGTATTATTCTTTTGGGAGAAATTTCAAAATAGAATCTTTAAATTTTGATTGTAAATTGGATTTCTGATGTCCTTGGTGAAAATATTTTTCTATAAAATTTAGTTTTAAATTTTTATAGGTGACACAGAAGAATATTGGAACAATGAATCTAATGTGTTGTTGAGGTTATGAAACAGATAATTTGAAAGTCGTGTTGAGCTCCAAAATCATGTCCAAAAATTGCTTTAGAGCAAGGATATGTGGTGATTGTAAGGAATTTTAAACTAAGTATTATGTGATTTTTGGTTGTGATAGAGGTGGAAGACATTATGCCACTATTGTTGATGATAAGAAGAAAAGATTAACCGGCTCTCGCTCATAAATTGCGTATTTGAGGTATCGGGGAAGAGAAAAGGAAATGTTTCGGTGATAGAGATTAAGAATTTATCACATAATCATGAACCCTCTGAAGATATGTTGGGACATCATTACTTTGTTTCGTAGGTTTTCAAACGATGATAAGCAAATTGTGAAAACATCATCCATAATTGGCTCGGTGCCACGGGAGATAATGTTCACACTTTGAAAAAGCAATCTAAATTTTTAAGCAAATTCTAGAACAATATTTAATTTTATAGCTAAGATAAAAAAAAGGCTAGATTTGATGCAGGTATGATAATTGAAGCTTTGTTTGAAGAGCTTGGTAATGTTGGATTTCTTTTTCACATTGAGCTTGGTAATGTTGGATTTTTACTCATTTACTTTTCATACATCCTAGATCATGAACTGCACAAATACAACACGCTTGTTCTTGATATTATTGGGATATCATGTTTTAATACATTATTTACTCTTGCATTGTGTTTATGCAAAAAGAGGAAGAGGAAGGAGAAGATTACATCTGGGCTCTCGAATAATTTTAAAAAATTTTGGTTTTGGGTGTTGAGAATTTTTCCCATAATTATTGTTGCTGTTAGAGAGTTGGCATTGATGAATGCAATTAGAGTAGTTTTTCCACAAACTATGCATCTTTATGTACTGCGTATAGAATAGAATGTCCTAGCTAAAGTTAAAAGTTTTTCGAGAGTGGAGAATTTGATGAGTTTTTGTCGAGTTGAAATATTGTGAAATATTCTATTGATGAAGTGAGCTTCACTAAGAAAGGGAGTTTATTAAGAGAGCATCATAGAGACAAACCAATGGCCATTGATTACATCAAAAACAATATGGCTTCCATACAAAAGAAATTGTGTTTGCATGGATACGAAGACATTTGCATTTCAAGAATCATGCAAGTTCAAATACTAATGATTGCCTATAGACGTAGTTAATATTACCAATACCCCTATAATTTTTTAAATGTATCTCCCATGCTTTCAAAACTTATGTCATTCTCCCTTATACTTATGACATTCCTACTAGACTAAATTAACCTTCTAATCTTAAGTTAATACCTTTGGGGCCTCCTATGGATTTGGAAGTGGCCATCAGTGCCCAACTATTTTCTTAATTGTTTATGATTTTTCTTCTCTTTTTTAGACACATGTTTTGAAAGTTATCTTTTAAAACTATTCTTTATAGTGTTCTAAAAATCATTTTTTGTAAAACAGTTGCTGCTAGTTGGGAGCTATCTCTTCCGTTAAAAGCATGACCACAACATTTCAATACTAGTTTATTCCTAGATAATACTCCCTCCATCCCAAATTATAATGCATGTTCACTATTCACATGATCAAACTTCATTTACTTTCTTTCTCTATTTTCGTTTGCAATTTGATAAAATAAAATATTGTTGTCACTACTAGTTTTGTAGATCTTTTGATGTAGTATTTTGATATGTAATTTTTATTTTTTAACTCTATACCATTTGTCATAAAAAATGATTTGAAAACAACTTCAGTCAAACATCGTAAACTGAAATAGACATTATAAAATGGGATGGAGGGAGTATAATTCTTCTTAAAAAAATTTAGGAAGCGTTTAATCCTCGAACTAACGATTTAAATACGCTTTCAGTGCTCTAAAACGATTTAGTAATTTTGAGTGCTTGCACTATGATTTTGTAATTAACGCATTAGCAGTTTAAGCGCACATTGATAGAATTTAGGATGTGTATGAACAACTGGATTGAGCAATAAGACACTTGGGCTGAACCACATTAAAAGATTGAATCCAATCGATTACTTAGTTCAACTCAAGAGCTTATATACCGATTTATTTTCACTATAAGTTCCGGTGTGGGATAGACTCCAACACTCCCCCTCAAGTGGACAACCGGGCCATTTTGAATCTAACCGGTTGACCACTTGCAAATGAACTCCCATTCCCTTGACTTTTTTTTTGAGCGCCAACAACTAAAGGACCACGAGCCGCTGGGTATGGACTTCCAGACGAGCAATCCTGTTAAACGGGTCACAGGCCGTTGGGTACATACTCCATACGGACAACTGGGCTAATGACTAACGGGCCGCTAGGAATGAACGTCTAGACGGACACCTTGACAAACGAGGTGGGCTAAAACTGGCTCTGATACCATGATAGAATTTAGGATGGGTATGGACAACTGGATTGGGCAATAAGACACTTGGGCTAGACCACATTAAAAGATTAAATCCAATCGATTACTTAGTTCAACTCAAGAGCTTATATACCGATTTATTTTCACTATAAGTTCCGGTGTGGGATAGACTCCAACACACATATGTCAGTCTTTCTACAAAGAAAAAAAGTGAAATATTTATTTTAAGTCGAATAAAAAGTAGGGAATTTTACATGGTGACACAAGAAAACATTTTACTCATATTATATTAATTATGTTTCCAACCGCACTATAATATGATTATCTCAACCTTAAAAAGTATGTTTTTTGACTTTTTAATCCAAATTAGATAAATATTCACCAAAAAATTGCTGCTAGGTATCCCCAATTTTGTGATAAGAACTCGCAGGTCCCATTATTTTTCAAAATATACTCTGGGGTACCTTACAATATCCAAAAAGTCATTCCGTCTATGTGTCCGTCAAATTTCTCCGTTATCCTGTTCTCCTTCTTCATCCTCTTTAGATCTCCTCCTCGGCTCCTCCTTTATTCTTTCTTCTTCTTTTTTTTCTTCTTTCTTCTTCTTTTTTTCTTCTTTCTTCTTCTTCTTCTTCATCTTCTTCTACTTAAACGCCATCCCATCCAATTCAGTCTCCCATCCCTCCCCTTTTTTTCTTCTTCGTTTTCTTCTATTAATATTAATATATTATTACTATTAATTATTATTATTATTAGTTATTATTATTTTATTATTTGTTATTATTATAATCATTATTTGTTATTATTATTTTATTTAATTTGTAGTTTGACTAATCTAACTTTTTTAGTAGTTTTTCTACTCTAAAGCTTTAATTGGAAATTACTTTTAGTAATATATTTATGTATAGTTTATAAAATTAAAATTATTTATTCACATGGTTATAAATTATACGTCCTAATTCATAATAATATAAAATTTAGAACTATTTTTTTATTGTTTCATACTCCCTCCGTCCAGTGAATTTGTCTAATTGTGAGCTTGAATTATATAAAAATCGTAATGTATTTTAATATAAAAATGACTTTATTGGATTTATCGTATTGAGAACTTTCAAAATTGTATTTCATTATGCTAATATGCAATATAAATTGAAAATAATGAAAGTTCAAAGTTTGTTCACTTTGACTCGAAAAAGTCAAACTGGATAAATACACTAGAACAAGAGTAGTATTATCTTTAAAAAAAGAGTAATGTTAGGGGTACACCAAAAGGGGTACCCCAAATGTACACCACCCTCTTTTCATCCACAAATTTTTATTTGATTTTTATTTACTTATTTTTTTTGAATTTTTTTGCCTTTTTTAGTGGACAAGGAGGGGGTGGGGGATATTTGGGGTTAGGGGTGTATACGAATCGAATCGAAGCAAATATATCACTATTTGATTCGTATTCGATAAAAGTGATATGTATTCGAATTCGGATTCGTATATAATTCGAATTTAAAAAACATTCGTATTCGATTCGATAGATATTTGACGTATTTGAATTCGTATTCGAATTCGAAAATATTAGAAATTTTTTTTCTTAAATCAAATTTCTTAAACACATTAAATTATTATTTTATAATAATGTAAAATGTATTTAAAATATGTTAGAATATATATAAATTTATTTATAAATTATAATATTCGAATATATATAAATTTATATGTACACAAAAAATTAATATATTAAAATATGTTAAAATACGTACACAAATATTTAATATATTAGAATATATAAATTTGTTTATAAGTTATAATATTTGAATAATTCGAATAATAAACGAATCGAATCTATTAATATTTGCATTCGGATTCGAAAATAATTCGAATCTATAATACGATTTGTATTCGGATTCGAATTCGAACATAGCGAATACGAATCATCCTTTTCGAATACAAATCAAGAATCGAATACATTTTATTTGATTTGTATGCACCCCTATTTGGGGTACACCTATCCATAGGCGGAAGTGCGGAACTTACTCATCTTATTCTTTTCTGAAGTACTCATCTTATTCTTTTCTGAACTTACTCATCTTATTCTTTTCAGAAAAGAATAAGAAGAGTAAGTTCCGCCTATGGATTTTTTTAAAGATAATATTACCCCGTCCTAGTGTTTTATCCAGTTTGACTTTTTCGAGTCAAACTGAACACACTTTGAACTCCCATTACTTTCAATTTATATTGCATATTAGCATAATGAAATACAATTTTGAAAGTTCTCAATACGATAAATCCAATA